AAATGTTTGTAGTTGAATTTGTACTGTATTTTATGAAGAACTTATTTAGTGTGTTCTTTAGATTTGCAGGTTCTGCTGTAAAACCGGTATTTCATTTCACTCAAATATGACTGAAACTTCATTGCACATAATAGAAAAATGGGAACTCAGCAGATTTCTTGTTCTCAACATCCTTTGCTTGAGACTGCATAAAAAAGCTTGTGTACAAGATTAATATTGGGGTGATGTTACTGTTTAACGTTTAAGTTATGTTGGGATTTAAAGGGGTTTCTGTTATGTTGGAGATTTGGGGGTTACCATTCTGCTGAAGAGCAGAGCTCCTGGTTAGGGCGAGGATGGGCCACAGAGTATTAAGATTATATATGTTACATCTTTCTTTATTTGAGAAGCAATAAATGTGCACATGCCAGAGCAGTGATAGTCTCTTTGCTAGTTACTTTGAATTAAATGTACTTTGTTTCCTGAAATGAAATACCCTAAGTTAACTGGTTGGGTTTTACAGTCTTTTGAATCTGACAGCTCTTTGTCCATGCCCTCACGGGGTAGTAAACTATCCCTCGGATGCATACTTCAGAATTCTGATGGAAAACAGTAGGTCATCTGTGAAATAGTCACCAACTATTTTGTGAATATTGTGTGTTCTGTATTTTGACATGCTGCTATATACAGGGGAGAAGACATATTCTGATGCAAAGATTAACTGTCAGCGAGTCAGTTGTTTTGGTTACTCTTTATTTCGATAGTCCACTTTAGACATTCTACTAACTATAAGTAACTTTGTTACTATATGTCAACTAATTCTCATTAATTTGCATCTACATGTCTACTAACTCTCAGAGTAGACTGTTAGGGTAGGTTTAGGATTAGTAGAGTAAGTTGACAAAGAAAGTGTTAGAAGATATTAAGCAAACAGTCTACTAATACTCTACTAACTGCTAGTTGACATGTAGTTGCAAAGTTACTTACTGTTAATAGAATGTCTAAAGTGGACTATCGAAATAAAGTGTTACCGTTGTTTTAACTAAAATTATGTGTGGCTTTCACCTGCCCTGCTAAATAAAATGTATAAACAATTTTGTTTACTAACTAAGTTTGTGGTTTGTTGTATTGTAGAATAGAGAGTAAGAATATTTCCCCTGAGTCCCTGAAGTAGTATTAAACTAATAATCAACATAGTTTTGTTTAAAGGATTATGCAGAAATGTTTGGTCTATTTGGTTTATCGGCTCTTCGTCTGAAACATTTAGCCAGTCATTTGTTAAATAAAATGGCATTGTAGTAGACAAGTCCCTGAGCCACTGCCACCCTGCTTTTGCCTCACTCCATTGTTTGTGGATCCCGAATTTTGATCCAACATCTGTTTCACATGGCATATTGGCTTTTCAGATGCAGGGTCCCTGAAGACATGAGCTCTCGACCCAAATGTGTTTTCAAATATAACTCTGCAGTTTGGTTGGGGGGTTTTAAACACAAGCAAAATCAGTAAACTGATTTAACTCAAATCTAGATCACTTTTACAAGTTGTACGAAGGATGTGTGTTTAAAGAATATTAATGTTTCACGTTTGTGAGAGTGTACTGATAAGTGCCACTGCTCTCTCTGACTTCAGTAGCTAGGTCAGCGCACAGCATTGCAGTAAGACCATCATGGTGTGGTCAAACTTGAGCAGACTAATCCTGCTGCTCTAAGCGTTCAAAGCCCAGCACCCAGACATGAATATTTGGCAAAAAGAAGGTCATTGGACTAATCTAGACAGCACTATTTTCATTGGCCACCGGGGTTCAGTCAGCAAGACCTGGATGTGAACTTTTGAACCCTCTGCACAATAGCAGTAATACCACTTCACTTTAATGCTGTTCAGTGTTACCTTTAAGCCTCCAGTAAGCAGGATTTTAAAAAATAATGTCCTTACACAGACTGTTTATCCAAGATACCCTATATCCCTCCACCCCACACTAACACACACAGTCATACCCATTCAGATACACACTCAAATTAAAGCACACACATACATTCACCCTTACGCACTCGCAGACCAGCTAATAGGGTAGTTTGAAATAGTGCCAGCATAAGCATACACCCACTTTACCCTTGGTTGACTTTAATGGGGTTAAAAATATTTTCCCTTCACCAGTGTACACATTAATAATGTGTCTGACAGATTTGTACAATTGAGGGAGACGGGGCCTGAGCAAAAAGTCCAATTAATTGGGCCTACCCCAGCGTTTCCTTGGGTCACCTTGGGTTAGCTGTCCTATGTTTTCCAGGTCAGGTGTTTGGGGGTATGTGTGTGTTTGGGTATGCACCTTCTGGCCGTGTGTGAGTGTGTTTGTGCTATGGCTTTATTGTTGTCAGCAGTGAAAGTGTGTTTCAGTATGTTCTAGGACATTGAGAAACCCACCATGTGGACAGTCCAGCAAGCTTGTATAACAGCTGTTTGCCGCTGGCCCATCTACAGCATTTGGCACTGTCATTCACAGCATATATGTACCATTTTCAATTAAACTGAGAATCTGTTTCCAATTCAATTGTTGAATTTTAATTGGATTTGAATTGATGCAGCAAACAGGATTTAGAATTGTGCTCTGGGCGCCCCGAGTCCTAACTCGTGGACTTTTCCCGAACATGTCCCCCTCTCTCTACCACTTTGATTTCTGTCACTCTTTGCTATCCCATCTCAATAAAGGCTAAAACCTTTGAATATACAGAGGTAGAATTAAATTAATTAATATAACCATTACCTGTGTTGAAATTCTGGTGAACTTCCTGTGAAGTGTGACAATTATATGCTAATTCATAATCATGAATTGAAAGGAAGCCAATTCTTCTATTCAAAATGTTGCACCTTAACCTGGGGATGCAGTTTTTTTTTTTTTTTTACACCTGCTTTAATTGAAATGTTTGAACCATCTTGGTATTTCAGGAATGCTTTGCATTTTTGATCCACTATCAATTGGATTTGTATGGATGGTTGTTTAACAATGTTAATCAATTTTCTTACAAACTCAACACAGGCTTGTATTTAATGTTGTTTGTATCACAGATTTCTCCATCTTGGCAGATAACAAAGGCTGAAGTAATATGATGATTACTGGAATGTTAATTATTTTTTAGTGTTAATAAGTCAACTATCTATCTATTCTTTTAACACAGAACACAGCAAAATACCTTATAGGTAGTTCCTCTGGGTCAAAAAAAAAAGTTAGGGACAATGAAAAGCATATCAGTTGGCACTGGGGAACAAAAAACTCAAAGTGCTGCTCTGTTGTTCCCCCCCCCCCCCCCCCCCCCCCAAGCTCTAGGGAGAATTCCTGCGTTCTTGTGTGTTTAGCTTCAAGCATCTTTGTTTAGATATGGGCACTGCTGATGCCATTGCAACTAGAAGCAGCCAGGGGTCAACTGCTCTGTTTTCAAACTTATGTTATAGCTTTCAGTCTTTCCTTCTTGCTTTTGACCACCTGTGCCCATAACAGGAAACATACCGTAGGTCTTAATGCCCTAATGCAAGCCTCACATTATTATTTCACGTATGACACATTGTCAGACTGACAGGTATCTCTGGAGTTGACTAGTTGAATTTCTAGTTTTTGGTTGGTCCTAGTTTTCTGTTATTTTTATATGCTCCTTGTTTCCTACTCCTAATCTGTTTGTGTGGACACAAGAGCAAAATGTCTCCTTGAGTTTTGTTCAATGTTGCATCCTGACAGTTGATCGAAAACTCTGGGACTGACATCTGTCAGTAAGATGGATGGATAACTCCTTGCCTGTAGGCTGGTTTTCATGACTCCTCATTTCTTATCAAGTTTCGGGTGATGGAGTGAACTATGTGCATTGTGAAGTTTGGTTCGTGTCGAAGGTTGATAAAGAAAAATGCCCTGAGGCTGGAAATAAGATCAGGTTTACCGCAGCTGTCTCTCGTACCAACTGCGGTCAAAGGTCACGGAACAACATTATAAAGATTCTTTTGTAATTGCCAGAGAAACCAAAACAAGGTTAAGAAAGCAAGCTATTTGTTTCCACTTATTGGCTATAGAATGGCAATGAGTGAGGTATTCAAAGCCCCCTGACCTTGTCAAATGAAAATTAAACAGAGCTGGTTTGGAACAAAAATATCTTTTTGAAGTCTTGCGGAGCAAGTTAACACACAATCTTAATCTACCATTAAAAATTAAAATAAAAAATGTTGGGTTTTGTTTTCATCACATTACACTACCATTTAAACGTTTGGAGTTAGTAAGCTTTTTATTTTTTAAGAAATGTTAACATTTTTATTCAGCAAGGATGCAAGATCAAACGTTATTACAGACAGTATAGAGTGTTATATTGTTACAAAATATTTCTGTTAAAAAAAAACTCTCTCTGCCCCTCAAGGTTTCACACTCTTTCCTTCTCTCTTCTGCTCTCATTATAATACAATATCCGGTCAATGCTGTTAACAGGTATCACCTCATGCACTAGTCTTAACGTTACTGTCCACCACCATGTTTCATTAAACACTTGCATTATGTCAGCTCAAGGCTCCATATATTTTATATACTTTACATTTGTGGAGAAAAAAACAAACAAACAAAACAAAGACTTCTTGTCCTGAAGGATTTCAGTAAAAGCCTTAAGCTTGATGAAACAATTAAATAAAATGATGATTGTGTACTTACTTCCATAGCAAATGAAAACAGCAGCAGGGAAATTCTGAAATGTTCAAAAGTTGCTTGTTCTTTTGTATTTATTTGTTAAATTACACCAGAATTAGTCTTTGATGAATTCAAACGGTAGCTCATTTTTGATCAAATATAAAAAGTGACTTTATGAAACTGAGAAAATATAATCTCTTGCTTTTATGATAGGAGAATCCCTAAATATTACATTGCGTTCACCATAATCAGATGGAAATATACAATAAATCACCACAAATAAATGATTCAAGGACAATTAGTAATAATAAAAAAACAAATCTCTTCAAAATCCGTTTATAGCTTTTGAACACTGATCTGTATAGTGCACAGGTTTAAATACTGTATCTGATTGTACAACTTAGCTCTCCATTCTTACATGAATAATGAATATGCCCTCTTCTTTCTATTTCAGTCTATCTAGAATCTGCTGCTCTTGTTTTGCTGAGGGCAGAAAACCCCTGTAAGGTTTGGGCGAGCCTGCTCTCTGTAATATTTTCAATAAATGAGAGAGAGAGAGAGAGGGAGACGAAGGTGGCCACAGACTGCCAGCTCAGCCAAACAAATTCAACCACTCGTGAAATCTTTGTGAATCAACTCCTAATGTAACCTAATGCCATAACAGGGGGTTAGAGCAAACAGGGGAAATGCAGATATATATTCATGCCTGACAGGAGACAGAGAGAGTCAGAAATACAAGAGATGGTTATATTTTTTTATGTTTGGACATGTTGAAGATGCTTGTTACGGATATAATTATGATGTCCTGGCATGGCAGCATGGCTGAAATCAGCCCCAGTGTGGTTTATTTGGATAGCAGCCATACTGGAGATATGCAAACTTGAACAAACAGCACTGACCCGAAAGCACAATTTTTTTACTTATAATTAGTCAAGGTTGGGTGAACATCACTATTATTGCTATTGCTTTTGTAAACCCCCTATACTGACAATTAAAATATTAAAACTGAGGAGAGGTGTGCTGTTATTTATTTTATTTTTATTTATTTTTATCACGAGACTTAGTATATTCACTTGGCAGATTATAAAATTATATAGATTATAAAACAGATTTACATTAAAGGAGTGACCTAAGTCACATGAAGAGACTTTATACCTCAAACCATGTTGCCTAAAAATTGCCTGATTATTTATAGTCAGGCTTGCAATTTTCATCTGGTGGACAGCAAAAATAAATAAATAAATTTGTATATTTATTGTATATTGTATATTTTATGTATACCTGTATACAGTGAGTGTGTATATATACAATGTATATATACAGTGAAATACATAGAAAAGGACCTAGGTATTGCCAGTAGAGTAAAATTACTGAACATAAAGATAGGAGCCTGATAAAGATGCTCATTTCAGATGAAAATTTCAGATGGCACTTAGAGGCTTTTGCAAATTAACTCTTCATATATACATTGTATATGTACATATGTTACATTGTATATCATGAATATCATATAGTGATCTTTGATCTATTATGGGAGGTGTAACCTTTGAATTATCAGTATAGCACGGTCTGCATTGAGGACACTGCTCCTCTGTTCTCCGTTTCATCCATTTACTCATGTGTGGTCATTGAAACCCGTTCCAGAGTGACTGCAGTCAGGACTAAATGCATTCATGTGACTCCTTAAATTCCTAGGCCTCCTGACAAAATGGCATATAACATGATATAAATAAATTTTCTTTATCAGACCATTCTGATAAGCAGATAATCTGCCAATGCAAAGGAAAGAGTAAAATATCATTCTGATCTGTAGTCTAGACTACACTGTAAAAAAAAAACGGATAATGTACCAGGATAATTACCAGGATATTTTCTGTTAAATTTACGGACATTTCCTTTCAATTTAAAACAGAAAATTCTCTAAATTTACATTATCTCCTTTACCATAAACGGACAATCCGTTATGCAGAAATTTCTACAAAATTATAGCATAGGCCTATCTTTAATAGCAAATAAATCCAGCACAATATATACAAATTGAACATGGTTTATTTTTACCTCATGTAAACATTCTTAAAAGTGCATTCAGTGGCTTTTGTTTGCCTTAAAGGCACAATATGTAAGATTTTTTAAGTGGTCCAAAAACCACTAGAACAGTGTTATATATTTTGCAGACGTGTGTATATACATTATCCCAAATGTTTCGAAGAATGTTTAAATCCAGAGAAATAAGCAATTTTAACTAGTGACACTGACCGTGTCCATAGCCTGCCAATGTCGTCATAACACCTCGATTTCCAGTTTTGTTTTGTAGAAAACATGGAAACACCACAGACGCTTTAATATGTTGTGCGTTTTAATAGACCGTTGATGACCGCACAGAGTAGCATAATAAAATAACTTTCAAATGTGTCTAGTATGATAAAACAGCGCTGCTTTTTTCCCCCCACATATGCACGACCGGAAGGAGCGGAAGCGGTCGACTGTTGCATAATAAAAGCTCAGCTGCTTTCGAGCCATGTGTCGCGCTCGTTTAGCGGCCTCGTTTCGCTTCAACGGCTTTCAGCCTCACCCTGCTTCATTCTACTACGTTAATAAATCATTAGCTCATCCATGAACATGATTTCTGCCCGAGTCCCGTCGGATTGCATCGGCTGTGGGGATGAAGACGGCAACTCCCATGATTCCACACTCAGTCACGCCGTCATCAAACTATGCCTTTGTCTATTTGTTTATTTTGAATACGCGCCCTCTAGCAGTGAAAATTACATATTGTGACTTTAAACAGGTGAAGACAAAAATATTATGCCATTAATTAATTTAACAATGTGTAAAGCACCATTAAAAATGCTTGTATTGTGGAACACTTTTTTGTTTTAAACAGCAACAGACAGAAAAAAGAAAACATGAGCAGGAACTTGTTCAATATTGGGGTTGCACCAAATAGGGGTCACAAAGATAAACTTCACTGTGAAATATATTTTTATGAAATAAATATTATTTAAAAGGACAGTTCACCCAAAAATGTGAATTCGGTCATCAGTTACTCACCCTCATACTGTTCCAAAACCATACGATTTTTATTCATCTTTGGAACACGAATAGAGAGTATTTTTAATGAAATCTCTGTGCTTTCTGTCCCTCCATTGACAGCCTATGCAACTACCATTTCAAGGTTCAATAAGGTATAGCACTCAGATTTCATTAAAAAGGATCTTCATTAGTGTTCCAAAAATGAACAAAAGTCTAACAGGATTGAAATTAGATTTTTCATATAATATTTTGGGTGAAATAACCCTTTAAGTTAGATTACTAACCTCTAATTCATGCTAAATTATCTGCATCTACAATTGACATGGTTCTGCAAAAATATATTCTTGTACAGCATTTGAAAATTTGGAACAAAGATTCATGCACTCATGCCTCATATTTCAATGTGAAACTAGGAGAATTAAGAGCAGGGCTCCAAGTGTTTGTGTGCTTTTAGTATGTCTTGCCATGTGCCAATTTGAGGAAACTGCTTTTTTTTCTGTATGTTCGGTCCAAGTTCCAGTCCATCATTAGTTACTCACCCTCATGTCGTTCCAAACCCGTAAGACCTTCGTTCATCTTCAGAACACAAATTAAGAAATTTCTGATGAAATCTAAGAGCTCTCTGACCCACGGTGCATCGTAGTACTCTCGTTAATGGCAGCAGACTCTCCCAGAAGAGAAGAAATTGTTTTCTCGTAGCTTCGTAAAATTACGGTTGGATCACTAACGTCACATGGATCATTTTAACGATGTCCTTATACTACATTTCTGTGTCTTGACCGTGGTAGGACCCTTGCTGTCTATGGAGTGTCAGAAAGCTCTCGGATCTCATCAAAAAGATCTAAATTTGTGTTGCAAAGATGAACAAAGGTCTTACAGGTTTGGAACGACATGAGGGTCAGTAAGTAATGACAGAATTTTTGGGTGAACTAGACCTAACCCTTTGATTATTTTCAACTAAACAGCAACACAACAAAATGCTTTATACACAGTTTCATTACATATGTTCCTTACATTTGTATGAATTCCAGCGTAGGTGCCATCTCCTCTGGATGTTTTATGCTTAAAATAAAACGAAGAGAATGTGTATCTCAGCCACAATGGGGAAGGAAATGAAACGTCTTGAATGACAGCAATCTGGAATCACCAATAACAATAAACAAACAAGAAATTATATAAAAAAAAAATATATATATATATATATATATATATTGTTCATTCAGAAAACCACTCCAAACATTGATTAAATCTTTCCTACACATAAACGACATAAACGTGAGTATTGAACATCCCTAATGGTAAATAAAAACTGTTAATAGATAAAACAGAATACAAACCCATGATAAGAATGAAGGGGGTGCTTGGGATATACAGTACAGCAGCAATAACGACCTGTCATTAGAAAAGAAAAGAAAAGAAAAGAAACACCATGAATGTCATGAACTGCTGACCCTTTAAAACATGACTCGCATCGACGCACATCTGACACATCCCAACTCTTTACATCAGTTAAGACTTTTTAACTTATTTAAGACTGTCACTCGACAAAAATAAATGGTCATTTTGACATAATTTTGTGTGCTTTTGTCCGTGTAAATGCGAGAGAACTCGATGCACTACTGGCGTGCGGTCTGAAGTGGCATTCTCTGCTCGTGCATGACGTGTGCGTTCACAGACAGCGTGCCAGTAACAATGCCTAATTAACTTCTCGTGTGTGTGTAACAAAAACAAGACAAAAAAAGTCTAAACCTACCTCATTCGGCAGAAAAGGTGATAGTGTTATCCTTGAAGAATTCCACGATGTCAGATTTTCACCTAGTTGTATCTTAATCTCTCTTAAATAAAAAAAGTCGTAAATGGTGTTTACTTTTCTTGACAATTCCTCTGCCAGCTCCTGTTGAAGGCATAAAGCACTCTAAACACAATTGTATCACACTTAAGATTTAACGTTATCACAGCTGCTTAACATTACTTCAGTAACGTTAATACGCCAGATGATTTATGACACGCTCAGTAACAAATACACCACATCAACAACAAAAGTTAATAAACAATTAAAAGTGAGCACACTGTAACATACCTTTCACGTCGAGTAAGATGCTGAAAATGTTGAATACGATGGCTCCGACATTGCCAAACAAGCCACGGAAGTATAAGAACGGTTCCCCAAACCCGAAATCCGATTTTAAAATGAAATTTTGACAGAGACTATCCCTAGCACTGTTTTCGCACCACTAATCGACTGAGCTTCTTGTTACCACAATGCAAAGCGTAATTCAAAAATCCAGAAAAAGACCTGTAAAAACCAATTACGGAAAATTCCTTCAAATTATTACAGTATATTGTACTGTATTTTTACGGACTTTTTTACAGTGTAGTCAGTTCTGTTATAGGCTGTGATGCTGCACTAAAATAAAAAAGAACCAAATGACTGACTGTGTTTGACCCTGTGGGTCAGTCTCGTAGTGAACAGCGGTCTCTGTTCCTCTGGCATAATACATTCACTACTAAACAGAGACAGAGTTATCAGATCTAATTAGTACATTAATAAGATGAGATCAACCATGGCCTGTGGCAATTTTAGTATGGCAGATGCTCACACAGGTCAGAAAGGGATAATAGTGTGATGTCAATGAAGGTCCAGTGGCTGCAGGGAGCTAGACTGAAAGGTGAGTGTGATTATTAGGTTGCGGGAGCTGATGCGGGCCTCTTTGCTCAAGATATTTTGAGTGTGCATTTATTGCATGTTTGCCTATGTGTGTGAACAAAAGAGAAAAGGAGAAGAAAAAGGACCAACATTTTTTTTAAAAGTGAGGGTGGTATGAGGTAAATAATTGCTGCTGACAGACCAGCATGTTCATTGGAAGCTCACTCCAAGACATGAAGATACAAAATGGTAGAAAACAAGATCTAATCATTGAAGTGAGGCAATACAGTTTGTCAGCACACTCACTCATTTTTCATGTTTACAAGGAAAGTTCATGCAAAAAAAAATAACATTTTGTCATCATTTGCTCACCAATGTGTCGTTCCAAACCTGTATTACTTTCTTTCTTCTGTTGAACACAAAAGAAGATATTTTAAAGAATATACCAGCTGCTCTTTTTATAGATAGTGAACATAAATGAGGACTGTTTCACCAAAGCATTTGTAAAACTCTCAATCTAAGCTGATTTAAAATAATATCACCCAATCTCCATGTTGTCATTTATTTCAGATGTAGTGTCTTTTGGTGCACATTCTTTGATGGCATTTTAATGATATATTAATATATCATTTTTGCACACTATAGTATGTGTGTGTGTGTGTGTGTGTGTGTGAGAGAGAGAGAGCGAGAGAGAGAGAGCGTCCATGCTTCACTTGCTAATTTCAGTTCTTGAGGGCACCCGACTCGCGTGTAAGATTGGGTTTGCCCATTGGCTTCTG